TTGAATTTGCTTTTTCCCACCAGCCTCTGTGATTGCGTCCGGTGCTTCATCTGATGGATACTTAATATACGTAGCGGACTCGCACAGATTCACAGCACCCCTCTCGAGACCAATACTATGGACTAACTCAGGCCTTCGCGGATGACCCTCCTCGCGACTTCGTCAAGGGATACGAAGTGCGTTCCACTTTCGTCCTCCCCCATAACCGTTCCAGCTTAGCCATGTCACCAATGCCGTGCCACATGCCCTTTGGATCTTCCTACAGATCCCCCTATCAACGCAAAGATCGACTGGGAATCCAATCCCAGGAGCGATGTGATATTGGGACACAAATGCACCTGCGACCCATCCCTGATGAGTGATAGTCGGGGTCCCCACTGATGTTTTCCCGAAACAGGCAATATCGTCAATTATTTATCGGTACCTAAGATCCTGAGCTGCAGTGTCACGGTAGATCAAAGTGGAGCACGGGGCAGAATGTAGGTATTGCAGTCGCAAAAGTTTGTCTTACAGTGGGGATTTGGACTAGGCAATTTCTTTTTCTTTTTTTTCTTTTTTTTTTTTCTCATTTTTTTTTCTTTTCCCTGTATCCACACAACCTCCCCGAAGACCGACTGACGGACTCCTCACTGAGTTACCCGTAACCAGTACCGCAGCTTTAGTCAGATATCCCCAAGCCAAATATTCCCACACGTACAGCTCCACCAAGAAATCCCCCCAACAACCAATAACCCCAAATCGCCTGACCGTTAAGTGGATCCGACTTCGACTCTTCCACTAAAGGGGCCAAGATTCTAGGAGCATTAAGTTCACCAACCAACCCTGTGCCGGGTGTACCTTAGACCACTTGTACGCCATTTCCCTCTACGGGTAAAGAGCAAGCGATAGCTAGTCCCGCCTGGTCCCAAGCCTATCTCTTGTCCTTCGGAAGGTATAGACGGAGGTCAGTATCCTCCAAGGGAAATCCAACCCAAGGGGAGGATCCACCGCCATCGTTTCTACGGTGTATAGTTATACTTCTCAGCCCACACCAATTTCACCCAACCTAGTCCAGATACGTCCAAGCACCGCAGGAAATTGGGCAAACCCTCATCGGCCGAGTAAAGATATCTTAGTCTACCACAGTTGAAAGTGTCGCACGCGCCTCTTGTTCTCCAGTCTCCGTCTCCATTTCCATTTCGATCTCCATCCGGTTTCTGCACCTTCGTCTGGACTACTGTTTTCTGTCTGGGATGGAGTACTTCGCCTTGGCTACGGAGACCGGATAGCAAAAAGCCACATGGCTGACCTGAGTCTAAATCTGGGTCCGGATAGCCGCTACTTCCGTTGGGGCTTGGGCCCGCTTGCTTTTTTCTTTCTTGTGGTACTTTGCCTCTTTGATCTTTTATTTTGGTTACTTCTGAACTAATTTCGTAAATTCCCCGAGAGTACTCTAAGATCCCTAATTAAAGAAGGAGGAGGGGGGGGGGAACCGAAAACTGTGCATGGGCTTATGACTGTTGAAGTTTTCTAAGTTTGAATTCTATGGGGATCCTACTGAGCTAACTCACTACAGTATCTCACTAAGAATCAATGGAACAGGTCAGAAACGACCACGATGCAATCCCATTGAATCTGATGTTGAACCGACAGGGGTCCTGCTGTGAACTGTGGGCGTGCATGCTTACCTCGCAGGCCCTAGTTTCACCTTCTCCTTTCCTCGGCTGACATGAAATCAAATCAATGAATCAAAAGAAAAGAAACACTAGACTAGAAAGAAGGATCCTTACAAAATCCTCCGGAGATAGTTAGTCGACTAACGATCTAGTAAATAGGCAATTAACCCAACTAGCCACAGGCCACAGATTACCATGACTTGAGGGGCAAAAATAACAATAACCATAAACAATGCCAATGCCAAAATCAAACCCAAAATCGAATATATCCGTATTTCCCAAGGAAATAATAAAACGCCAGAGTTAAGCCGCGGACCCGTCGGATTACTTGGCTTCTTCTATTCGCGAGTGAGTAGTAGGGCTGTGGAGCCCGAATTTCCTCGGTGGCTGGCAAACTGGCACGTTGGCGATGATCGCTTCCATAACCTGGACTATCTATCTATCGACTCCGTGGAACTCGCAAGAGGCTTCCAATCCGGCAAAACTAGTACGGAGTAGTTATGTAGTCTATGATTCATTAATGGGGATTATGAACGAACAAAAAGACCGTGGGGATCGGGTTTATTGAACTTAACTCTACTTCAATATCGTTAACTATGTATTTTTAACTTTCCCTTTTACCTGGGGGTGAATGGAATGAATGTACTAGTTCGCGCACTCGATTTAGATTCAAACTATCCAATTTTAATTCCAGTCTTGGGTCTTGGTTTGGGTTGGTTTTGATATAGTTTACTTGGGGGGGGTTCCAACGGAACTGGTGCTGATGACCGTTTTGTTGCTTTGTGCTGAGGGTGCTTTAGTTTCGGGTGGTCCCTGGGTCAAGACTTGTCATACGTGTCGTGTGTGGCAAAACTGCTACCTGGGTGGTATCAGGTATCTAACTAAGCTAGCTTAGCTAGCTGGTTTTAGCTGTTGCTGATCTGTGGTCGGAGACCCGTGGGTGCGGATGTTGTTGGTAGAAAGGTAGAAAGGTAGTAGTAGGTCTGGAGTAGTATGGGGGACAACGGATGGATTGTCCAGGCTCCAGATGACCGCGTAAGTCACCCCCTGGTGTCCGTCCCCCATGTCATAGCCACATTGTGTCTAGGCACCAGGATTTAGCATTGTCTAGAACTTCTTTCTTTTTTTTCTATTTTAATAATACAAGATAGACATCTATCCGGATGTGGGTATGGTTTTATTCAGATGGTTGTCACATGTATGCTGAGCGCCTAGCTGTTGTGTGCGGGGGGACACAAGTTGAATTGCATCCATACGTGTGTGATGTCGACTGCATGGAGGGGGGAAGCGAAATGAGATGAGGCAATCACTTACTAGTATTACTGGCATTGGCATGTATGCATATGATGGAGCATCCGATTTGTTGCTTTCTTGCAGCGTGAGATGGGGATGCGCGGGACGTGGTTGGTGTCTTTTTTGATATCTGATACATGGGTCCACGGCGGTACGGTTAGTAGTTGGGCTTGGATGTGGTGGAGGTCAGGTAAGGTGTTGTTTCAGTCATTTTGGCTGGTTGTTGAACTTGTGATAGGACATGTGGGTTATATATTTTGGTGGTCCGAGGCAAAACCCCGCTCGACAGAGTAAGGGTTGGGAGCTGTACGTCGAGCGTTTGCGTGTAGATCTGTGAGGGCTATGATATGGCTACCTCTACGAGTAGTGTATTCCATTGACGGATGCATGTCCAACCTATCACCTTATCTTCCGTGTCCTGATCTTGTTTTTCAGAGTGAGGGCTGCTATCTGGCAGCATCCGATTTGTGGTTGGCTTGCTTATTGAGTCCATGCAACTGGTAAAAATCCTGTAAGGCGTCGAATACGAGTTCGGTATCGCTATGGTTTATGCAGGATTCGAGACCGTCTACGATACTCACTGAATCTGGATTTCGCGTTGGATCGATCCTATGACTCGCTGTGAAATGTTTTAACAGCAGAGCATACTGACTCAATGGCGCCTGGCGGGTTTCTCCTCCGTACATTAACGTTGGCTCGGACCTGTAAGCAGCATGCTCTTCATAGCCTACTGCAGTTCAGCCATGGCTATCGGTGCAGTTGGTCTCGAAGGGCTTGGACCACCACTGCGAGATACCCCATCTGCAGCGCCGTTCACTCCATACTCGAGTATTGATGCGCGGACTCGCCCAGTCATTCATCTTGAGCGGAAGTAGCTTCGTAATGGCCCGACCTCTCCCTAAAGAGCAGACGGAGACCAATGGTGCAGCCGCTGAAGTAGCTAACTTGGCTGTTCGTCAAGACGCATCGTGTTCATCCGCGTCCTCGTGTAGTGAGAAACAGGTTCCGATCCCATTGTGAGTTGCCCAGTTGATCCAAGACGGGTCATCACATCCATATTCCTGCTCCAGGCTCAACCCACGTCTCCATCTCATCCGACCGTCACCGTGTCCGTACACACAGGCCAGTTTGAGCGACAAAACCCCGTCGACTGGGGATGAAGCATCTGCGACGGTGTTAATGGGCGGTGTATGTGTGCGGCCGTGAGCCAGTGCGCGTGGAGGGAGAGTCGAGACTGGAGGCGTAGTGCCGCACGGGCGAGGCTATGTTGACTCCTGGGAATCCATTGACAGGATGTCGTTTGAGGGAGATACTTTAAAGTGACCCGATTCATCGAAATTGTGGTTTTTTGAAATGGCCCTCGAAGATTGATTGTGCTCGTTTATTTCCACTAGGCTCGTCTGGGTTAGTGTCTCGTGGATGGTACTTTGGGTCGCTGTCCTTTTGCACTGAGTCGTCCTGTAGGTGTCATCTATAGAGCTGTTGCATGTGGTGTATATGTAATTCGTTTGTAATGCAGTGTTGAGTGAGAGGTCCTCGGATATGTGGTCATTGCCAGCTGCTGGATGGAGTATGCGTTGGTGGTCGATCAGTATATTGCTGAACTATTTTTATAGTATTGGATAATGTTCGAATAATTACTATATAGGGTTATCAGTAGAGCTGCTTATGAGGAAACATGATGTAGAAAGGGTGTATAGGGGAAAGAAAAAAGAAGAGAATGTCTTACGCCCATATCTGTATTGTATTCCTGACTACGGCAGTGAGTGAGGATCCCCTTTACCATCATGATGTATACATCGACATCAAAGATGATCATTCGCAATGAGGACTGATCTGACTTTACCTGTCTAATTGAAAAGGAACGCCAGCATTGTAAGTTCAGAACAAATGAAGATTGCTAGTATAGATGCTTGGGTTACTTTAACTGCCTTAGGCAGATGTCCGCAACCTCAGGCTCTAACATACCCAATGTGGAATAGCGGCGGGCATTTCAGTAGGTATGAAGTAATCCCCAATCACCATCGTACTGAAGCTCTCCCCGCATCCACCGGCGCTCGTTTGATTTCAAATCAACTTCTCATCCATGAGCTTCGCAAGACTATTCCGACCCCTCATCGGTTCTCCATTTCGAGCCCAGAATCGATCTGTCCCAGCCCAAGCGCAGCACATCCGAGCCATGCATATCCAATCGATTCCCATGTGTGAGTGACAGGTCAATATCAACATGGATTGTTTTAGTTCCTCTCGCTTACTATCGTAGGGACGGGGAAGGGCAATAACTACGCCTACCTCGTGACGGACGAGCCAACCAAGCAGTCCGTGATCATTGACCCGGCCAACCCGCCAGAGTGAGTTATCGTTCTCAATATGTATTCGTTGTTGGCACGCGCTGATGGATGCAGAGTAGCACCGGTGCTGAAGAGCCATATCGCAGATGGCAAGATTGATCTGACAGCTATTGTTAATACTCACCAGTGAGTTTGGCACTCCCTTTGAGGATGAGCTATGTTGACTGTAAAAGCCATTGGGATCACGCGGGCGGCAATGATGAATTGGTGAGCGAGATCAATCTCCTACCCATAGACCGAAAGTAACGACTAACTGTCTCAGCTCAAAATCTTCGGCAAGCTCCCCGTTATCGGGGGTAGGAATTGTCAATCGGTGACGCAGACCCCGGCGCATGGAGAGACGTTCAAGATCGGAGAGCGCATCTCCGTAAAAGCCCTCCACACGCCCTGCCATACCCAAGATAGTATCTGCTATTTCATGCAGGATGGCGAGGACCGCGTTGTTTTCACGGGTGACACCCTGTTCATTGCAGGTATGTATTTGCCGTTCCTCGATAATTCAGACTATATAAGCTTTGGCTTTATGCTTATATATTATAGGATGTGGTCGCTTTTTTGAAGGTACCGCCCCGGAAATGCACAAGGCGTTGAACGAGACACTTGCTTCTTTGCCGGATGATACTAAGGTCTTTGTAAGTGCATTCTTGACTATTCTTGTTTATACTTTACGGCCGACACTGACATGTAACCAGCCCGGCCACGAGTACACCAAAGCCAATGTGAAGTTCTGTCTTGCCGTGTCGCAGTCAGAGCCTATCAAGAAGCTGCAGGCATTCGCAGAGCAGAACCAGCAGACGCAGGGCAAGTTCACGATTGGTGATGAGAAGGTATTTCCAGAATCAATTATCTTCCTGTAGCAGCTGCTGACAAGCTATGCTTAGCTCCATAACGTGTTCATGCGCGTCAATGTAGGATCTCTCTTGTGCCATCTGGGATCAAAAGCTAATGGTACATCTAGGACCCCGAGATCCAGAAAAAGACCGGAAAGACAAACCCCGTAGAAGTGATGGCGGCTCTACGGGAGATGAAGAATGCGATGTGAATGTGATGTGTAGTGTATGTACAAATAGTAGCATGGGTGAGCGTTGGGGTGATGAATTGAACAATATCCGAGCAGCACATTCGACATCTACCATGAATCAACAGTAAGTTAATACCTAGACCGGCCCAACATCCGCCAATAGCCTGGATACAAACCTGCACAACCATGTCTCCATGATCCAGCAGCACCTCAATCATCGTGACGTCAGGCATGAATCTATATACTATAAGTAACATCCAAGCATGCCATCCATGCTCACACTTTATACCACCAATACTCACACCCTGCAGAGTACACACCAAGTACACACCAACCAATCCCATATACAACAAAGATGTCCAACCAGAACGACCCCCCAGGCGACCCCAAAACCGCCAAATCGCAAATCCTCGAAACCGGCGCCGCAGCCATCCAAGACTTCACGCCCGTGAAACAAATCTGCGCCCATCTAAACGCCTTCCACGTCTACGTCGACGACCCGACCCGCTGCGTCGAGGCAAATCACTACTGTTCCCATATCACAGAAGGTACTGTGCATCAGCCATACATGTATACATATACTCAACCTTCCACCTACTCTACCATGGCAAACGCACACACCGAAGGAATGATATAATATATTGTATTCTACACTAACAACCCTAACCCACAGACCTACGACAATGCCTCCTCTACTCATCACCCGACCGCAACGCCAAACTCCTCGGCGTCGAATACATGATCACGCCGCGTCTCTTCTCGACCCTGCCCCCCGGGGAAAAGAAACTCTGGCATACCCACGAATACGAAGTCAAGAGCGGCATGCTGGTCATGCCTGCGCCGTCTGGCGTTCCCGCCACGGTCTGGGAGACGGCCGAGACGGCCGAGATGAGGGATATCTTGCCGTTGTATGGCAAGACGTATCATTTCTGGCAGGTGGATCGCGGGGACCGGTGCCGTTGGGGGCGCCGGTGCTTATGGGCAGTTTTACGAGTGATGAGGATGTGAAGAGGGTGCATGAGGGGGGGTTGGAGGGGTTGTGTAAAGATAGAGATGAGAGGTTTGGGGTTGATGTTCGACATAAGGGGGATGTGAGGAAGGGGGTGGAGAGGCCGGAGGGGTGGGAGGTGGATTCTGGTGAGTTTTGTCTTCTTTTCTTTGTTTGTTTGAAGTTGAATGATAGTTGTTGTTGTATGGCCGGGCTGACGTGGATTCTAGACGTGGACGTTGCGTGGAAGACGTAGGTTACTGCTTATCATCTACCTGCAAAGCGAAATTGAGCAGTCATGAATGAATGAAAATAAAATAAAATGTATTAACTATATAAAGGTTGTCTCCCGGCATTACCACCCAGCTTCCCATTCCCATAGTTAAATGGGGTCCAAGCCGGGCTATCGTTTAGGGAATCCGACCACCGTAGCGGCCGAAATATGTTCATCTTGCTTCACTGTCCACACTCACGCGTTCTGGTGTTTAATTTCGGCAACGGTGAGCTCTAGCAATTTTAGAAGCGATGTAAATGTGTACTATCACGCAAGACAAGAATAGAATAACATTGTTGGCACATAAATCAACGACCAATGAGTTTTGACTCGAACCGTCCAGAGAGATAATAAATGCAAACATAAAACACTTATATCCCCACTGAACCATTCATCAAAACCCAAACGCGGGCGACGAAATCGACTCAAGCATTGTGCGAAAAAAAAAAGGTCTTGCATGAACAGAAGAAGAAAACAAGAGGGAGAAAAAAAAGTTCCCGCCTTTTTATACCTTTCGCCCCACGTGACCCATCCCGAAGCTCTCCACCCGGAGATCGAGACAGACGCCATTAGCAAGCGAATTGGGAATTGGGAATTGAATTGAATTGAGAAGAGGTCCCCAGAGTTCAACTCAACCAGAAATGCCCAGCTAGGACCGATGTCGCGCCTACTCCGAGAAACACTGCGAAGGGCCACGCCGGGCGGGGTGTTCCGGCTTACGCTGGACGGCGTGGGACTGTTCTGCGCGTGCACGCTTATCTGGGAGCATCTGATCACGGTGCAGCTCAGTGAAGGGCCGTCGATGTACCCGACATTCAGTCCGCGGGGCGATTACCTGTTGATATCGAGGGTGCATAAACATGGCAAGGGGATTGAGGTGGGCGATGTGGTGCGGTTCTATCATCCGACGTTTTTGGGCGTGAATGGGGCCAAGAGGGTCATTGGTATGCCCGGGGATTTTGTCTGTCGGGATTTGCCGTTTAGTACGGAGGTTGGGAAGAGCCAGGAGATGATTCAGGTTTGTTTGTTCTTCTGATGGCTTGGGTAATGGTATGGTGCATGTGGCTGACGGGGTTTTTGTGATGCTAGGTGCCTGAGGGTCATGTGTATGTCGGTGGTGATAACCTGCCCTGGTCGAGGGATTCGAGAAACTATGGACCCATTCCTATGGGCTTGATCAATGGGAAGATCATTGCCCGTGTTTGGCCGCTCTCGAAAGCGCAATGGGTGCAGAATACGATGCAGCCGGCTCAGCTCGACGATTAAGTGGATCTATTCTCTACAAGCATGGTTTTGGGAGTCTGGAGTTGTGGGATATTTGTGCATATTCATACAGTTCGATTGTACAGTACAGATATAAGGCCAATGATAGAATAACCGGAAAGGAAAAATATAGTGGGAGTCCATTTACCGCATGGTAGCTGGGTTTCTCCTCTTGTAAGGCAGAGGCTCGACCCTCTTGCGGCGGAGCTCCATGTCCACCTCGGCGTATCCGCTCTCCTTCATGACCTCCGCCATCGTCGAATCCCATTCGGTACGGAATAGGTGTGCTCCGATGGGCTTCAGGTGGTACCTGGCTTGCAGGGTGCGGAGGAGCTTGTTGTCGCGGGTCGTCTCCTTGGCCTTGACGGCGGCGAAATCGAGCGGCTTCGAATCCTTCTGCTCCATAATGAAAACCGACAGACGGTGGTAGGGGCTACCCTTCTGGGCAACAGGAGGCAGCCATGGCAGGACGACCTGCGACTCCGACGAGAGCGTGGACAGATCGACCTTGGTGGAGACGGCCGAGATGGGTATATTGACCGCCAGATAATGCATCCGGTAGTCGAACCCGTCCTTCTCGACATTGGGAACATCGGCATCGACCACGGCGATCGTCACGAGCTTCTCACCCCGCTCGAAGAGCTGCACGTCCAGTTTTGGTGCAGATGTGCTGACGCGGGAGTTGACGAATTCTCCGGGCTGAACGGGGGACCGGCCGAAATAGAGCTTGGTGTCGACGATGGGATCGCAGTGAGGAAGGACATCAGGGATAACCTTCATCTGTGTGATTCTCTGGACAAGGATCTTGCGGCGGTACTCTCTCCATTTCTTGTCGGCCAGATAACGGTAGATGGGCTTGCTCATATCGCCTGTAATCAACTTTTGTTAGGACCAGACGTAGATGTGAGATAAGGATTGATCTCAACAGGGAAATCCTCACCCTGTCCGTCTTCAAACTTCTTCTTCACCAATGGGTCGTTAATGTCGGCAAGAATCTTCAGGCGTTCCAGATGGAGCTCCATGGCTACCAGGCGCGACTTCTTCACTTGCTCGCCTCCCGCTTCTTCTGTAGGAACCGCCTGAAGCCTGGCGATCTTCTCCCTCATGGACACGATATCCTTCAGCTTCTCCTCCCGGTCCGCAAGCAGGACCTGCCGTGCCTCCTGGAAACATTGGTAGGGCAGTTGGTCGAAGGGGACATTTGGTGAGCTTTGCAAAGCCGCGCGACGTCTGCGAGATCCAATGGGCGAAACACCCTGTCGTAGTAGTCGTCGTTCCAATCGAGGACTCGATACAAGCGCTGGGTCGGGCGCTTTGTGGAAGGGTTGGCTCTTCGGTTCAGCCTGGGCTTCCTCGCGAGCAAGAGCGGTAGTCTGGAAGGCCCGGGTTGACTGCAACTGAAGGGTCGGAAGGGCTCTAGGGTAGGATTTCTGAAGGCATTGGAGCAAAGGCTTTGCTGCCCGCTCGCAATGGGCCATTTTGGCGGGGACGATTGGGTTGGTGAAAGGGTGTAAAGAAAGAACGCGAGGTGGTTCTCGTTCCAGTCGTCGGGGAGAGCAGGTGTTCCTTGCCGGACGGAACTTTTTTCGTTGTCGGAGCCAAGCCTCAGCGGGTTAGCGCCTCCCGTCTGAACTTTTGCTTCATCGCCCATTTGGCAACCCCAGTCCCCCCAATTCAACGACCTTCCTCAGAGCTTTACCGACAGCACAATGCCTGGAGGTGACACGCTTCGTGCCTTAAGATGGCTCTCCCGGAGCACTGGTGGGTTGCTCTCGGGGTCTGAGACCACTACAGTATGTGCTGTTGTTCTCTTTACCTTCCCGGTTGCATTCGAATCGTAACGTCAACTCTAACCATTTTGGTCACCTTTCACAGCAACGATGCCTTACGAAGTCCTTTTCACGGTCAATGGCTACGGAGTCCCAAGCCACTACCGAACACCTTACCCGTGAAGCCCCCAAACCCGTGTGGACTACGGAACCCGCGCGGGCAACCACCTACTCCTTCCCTTCGATGGAACCATTGCGCTTTGTGGAATACCCTCGGAACCATCTTTTGATGCCCCTGCGGAAGGATATCTTACATCGGGCTGTCATCTACGAAGGTGACATGTCCAGACAAGGTTCGGCGAACACCAAGTGGAGGGGCGATGTGCACGGAAGTGGCAGGAAATTGCATACGCAGAAAGGTACCGGCAAAGCACGTGTTGGCGACAAGAAATCTCCCACCCGTACAGGAGGAGGTGTTGCCCACGGTCCTCACCCTCGAGACTTCTCCACGAGCCTTCCCCAGAAGATCTACGACCAGGCATGGCGGATAGCTCTCAGCTATCGGTACCGCCGCGGCCAGTTGATCATTATCGACAACGACATCTCCATCCCGGAAGATGCTACTCCGCACTTGATCAAAGAAGTTTTCAAGGTTAACAACTGGGGCCGCGAGTTTGGACGGTCGACCCTGATCACGGATCAGCTGAACGAGGGTCTGTTTGCTACGGTGCGTGAGGTGGGCGAGCATGCGAAGATTCTGGACCGCAAGGATGTGGATGTCAAGGACCTTTTGGAGACAGGACGTTTGATTATCGAGAAGCAGGCGCTGGACCGTATCCTGGCTAATCACTCGAGGGACTTGGCTGTTAAGCCTGCGAAGGCTCTGTATTGATTTGTCGACGGGCGAACGGATGTTACTTTTTGGGCTTTGAGGAACTGTTATCTGTACAAATAGAATCTAGCAATGTATGATTGTCGCTTGTAATTTGACCTGAAGAAGCAGACCAGCTATATTTCTCTTTGGTTGATCGTGTGATATGGATACGCATAGGGAATGAGTTACTTCTACTACCTATACCTGAGAAAAAGACCCAGTCCGCTCGTGATTAAGTGCAGACCGAGGAATTCATAATTTATAAAATAGATTCAGACCAAGAGAACCAGTCAAAAATGGGCCAGTGTAGGTAATGGCTGGGGGCCGGCTATCAGCTGTTTACAGGACGCTCGGCTGCTCAGTCGGCGAGGAAAATCGTCCGCCGGGAAAAACTCCGAGGTCAAGCGAAGCGGAGATCGTCTTTAACCGTGAGCGTCTCGATACTACTAATACACCCCCTCTCTTCGCCCTTTCTCTGTTTCTCCTTCCTGTCCGACAGGCTAAGGTCTGACCAATGTTACTCCGACACAATATCTCCCGGTTCTCAACACCGTCGAGCTGGATCTCGCGGGTTTCACCAGCAACCATGCCTCTCCGCGCCAAAGTGACAAACCCAGCTTTCAAAGCTGCCACAGTATGGACTTGGGCCTTCTTTTAGTTCTTAATGCATCGGTTGCTAACGATTGCCATTATAGATGTCAACTTCCACGAACCTCCCCAAAGAGCTGCCCGGCGATGAGCCCGACGATGTTTTGTTCAATTCTTTGTACGGCGTGCGCTTGGTCGAGCTTAACCGCCCTAAGAAGCTCAATTCACTGAACGGTTCGATGGCTCGGAAGATCCTCCCTCGGCTGAAGGTGAGCTGCATTGGTGAATGGTTGTACAAAGGTTATGGTTGCTAAGCGTGGAATAGGAATGGGAAAAATCCCAGCTGGCCAATGTTGTCATGGTTGCCGGCGCAGGCTCAAAGGCTCTCTGCGCAGGCGGAGACGTTGCCGCCCTCGCTCTGCAGAACGAGCAGGGCCCCGAGGGACAGCAGAAATCGACCGACTTCTTCGGTCTGGAATACCAGCTCGATCACACCATCGCAACCTACTCCAAGCCTTTCATCTCCGTCATGGACGGCATCACCATGGGAGGCGGTGTCGGCCTCAGTGTTCATGCCCCCTTCCGTATCGCAACCGAACGTACTGTCTTCGCCATGCCCGAGACCACCATCGGATTCTTCCCGGATGTTGGCGGCTCTTTCTTCCTGCCCCGTCTTGACGGTCAAATCGGAACCTACCTCGCCCTCACTTCGGAGCGTCTGACCGGCGTCCAGGCTCTCTATGCCGGTATTGCCACACACTACTTCCACTCCAGCGTGCTGAGCAACCTCACCAACCGTCTGGCTGAGCTGGTCTTCCAGGATCAGGCTACCCCCAAGGAGCGTATGGACTTGGTCAACAACACCATGGCTGAATTCTCCACCGGTCTGCCATCGCTCGCAGAGGAGCCAATGCTTCTTGCTGGCGGACTGCGCAGCGCCATTGACCGATGCTTCAAGTACAACACCGTGGAAGAAATCTTCCAGGCGCTGGAGAAGGAGACAGAGCAGAAGGAATGGGCCCAGAAGACCCTAGAGACTCTTTCCATTCGCTCCCCCACCTCGCTCAGGGTCACCCTGCGCCAGATGCGTCTGGGTAAGAAGTGGTCCATCTCCGAGACCTTCCAGCGTGAGCATCACATCGCTGGCAAGTTCATGCAGCACCCGGATTTCGTCGAGGGTGTCAAGGCCCGTCTCATGTCGAAGCCTCCCCGCCAGGCTTCCTGGCAACCTGCTACCCTCGAGGAAGTCTCCCAGGCGGATGTCGATGCTTTCTTTGAGCTCCCCGACGAGAAGTCTCGCCTGCCGCTCCTGAGTGATGCCACTTACAGTGCATATCCTCATGCCCACTACGGCCTTCCCACAGAGAAAGACATTGCGAAGTTTGTGCGCGACAGCACGGAGAGCAATCAACAGACGATCAACGAATTTGTTCAGAAATGGGGCAACAAGGAGGGTGTCCGGGAGAAGGTCGCGGAAGTGTTGGCCAGACGCACTGTTCAGACTCCTGAGGGCCTGCGTTGGGAATAGATATGGGAAAAAGAAATAAACGGCGATTTTCAATTCCTCTGTACTTTTGATTGTCAGGTTTTTACAATGGGTATAATTTTATTGACATGTATTTCATCGATTTACAGGAGCTAGACGGTACAAATCAGATCTGTGAGCGTACAACCTTTGACCTTGAACCCAATCGTAGTAAATGATGTGCGGAAGAGGTGGAGTCTAGATGTTGTTAAAGAAGGCAAGAGTGTCCTCCGTAGGTATGAATGACTTAGTAGGTACTACCTCATGGTATTAAAGCAAGCACTTTATGGATCCAAGGTTGTTTTGTATTTACTCATGACCTTAAGACTAACGCGTGCATCGATTGACAATTGTTGGGGATAACAATGGATCCATAATCTAATCAGATAACAAATTGGATTTGTTTGAGTTATCGGCAATTAAATGCGCTTCGGTCCGGCACCTTCATATGGTCAGTCCACCGCTAACCCCCGTGTATTTCATCTCTCAATCCTCGTCATCGACTCTGTGACAGACTTCAAATGCAGGTCAAGAATGAATTAAGGGAACAAAAAAAGCAGAAGTAGAAAGAAAGAAAGGACATATCAATAGATTCGTTATCTCCGAAGATGTCTCGCGGGGACTCCACGGATGAGGCGGAGCCGTTCCTGGCACCGTCACCTTCATCAGAGTCTATCGAGACTCCAATACGTGCGTCAAAACCAGTACTCGTCAGACTATACATCTCGCACAGCCTGTCGACATGGAACTCGCGCATGTTTGAGTTCGGAGCGGTCCTGTTCCTGGCCTCGATCTTCCCAGGCACTTTGTTGTACGCTTCCATCTATGCACTGGTGCGCTCTTTGTCTGCAGTACTATTATCGTCCTGGTTGGGCTCGATAGTAGATCGGTCGAACCGCTTGAAGGTGATCCGACAATCTATTAGTATGCTCTATCTGTCCTCTATTCCGCTGGAGCCATGAGATCGCATAGTTAACCAGAGTCTAGTATGGCAACGACTTCCCGTGGCATTATCTTGTGCATGCTTTGTTGCACTTCTGACCCCATTAGGGTCGCCCTATATCTCTCCGCTCTTGTTCGCCGTGGTCACTCTGCTTGCGTGCTTTGAAAAACTGGCCTATACAGCCAACACCGTGGCGGTAGAAAGAGACTGGGTGAGTATTTCCATTTATTGGGTCAAGTTAAACACTCTAACTTAAAAAGGCAATCGTTGTATCAGATGCATTACAAATCCCAAGGCAAGGTTAGATTATCTTTTGCGGTAGCACTGAGGAAGTAGACTGACATATAGTCAGACTTGAATGCCTCCATGAGACGGATAGATCTCGTCTGCAAGCTTCTCGCTCCTGTAGTTATCTCTTTAATAGATAGCTTTTCTACCCGGGCTGCGATATGGACAACCTTGGGCGTGAATGCTTCATGCGTCTTGGTGGAATATTTTGCAATAGCGCAGGTACCATCACTTTATCACTTTACTCATTCCAACTCAGTCGCAACCACTAACGGAAACATAGGTATATCAATCAGTGCCAGAACTGGAGCGAACTCAAGAAACCGATGTAAATCAAAATGGAGAAGAAGCAACGTCCGAAGATCAGATTCCTCAACGCCGCATAGCTCACAGCATGGTCCAGTACACTAGAGGTGTCGTTGCACCATGGCGGGAATATGTCTCCAGTCCTCTCTTTCTGGCGTCATTCGCCCTGAGCTTACTTTATCTCACTGTCCTTTCGTTTGGAACGACGATGGTGACCTATTTACTTCATACCGGCTTCAATTCTCTACAAGTCAGTGGAATGAGGATTGGTGCTGTGATCGCAGAACTGTCGGGGACATGGGCCGCCCCGTTCATCATGAATAAAATCGGGCCCATTCGGTCCGGGCTGTGGTTCCTGAACTGGCAATTTGGCTGCTTAGCCGCTGCAGTTGCTGCTTTTGCCTTCCTCAACAACAGCTCTCAGCTTGTTGCGGTGAGCCTCATTGTGGGCGTTGCCCTAAGTCGCATTGGACTATGGGGGTTCGACTTGTCGGTACAGTTTCTCGTGCAGGAGGTAAGCATGGCCCCAAGAGAATCCTAGCTCATCTCCTGACAATTATAGGGTGTCGATGAACATGCACGAGCCCGATTCTCATCCACAGAAATGGCACTGCAGAATATCTTCGAACTGTTCTCGTTTGCAACAACCATTGTCTTCCCGCTTCCGGAGCAGTTCAAGTATCCAGTGTATATCAGCTACGGGGCAATTGCAATGGCGGCAGTATGCTTCGCAGCGTACGTCCGGAAGGAACGAGGGCATTTGCTGCATACATCCAAGTGCTTTGGAGGTGATAAATTGCGGTTGTTTGGTGGGGAGGTGCCCACCAGGGACATACGATGTGATGATTAATGTTTGCATGTATAGTCGGGTTGCTTGTACCACCTGTAGGATAAACACAGAACCAAAACATAGAAGATTCATTACACAAGAAGGTTCAGCAACCCTGGTTTAATTCTATATATTTTTATGTTTCATCCATATTTACTTAGGATAAATCACTATATGACCTGCCAATCACGCCCCTTGCCGAATTGCGGGGAAGCGCCGTCCATCTTTAGTTTCTTGAATTAATCCAACTTCAACTCCTGCACTGCAACCGCGACACCATGACTACAGCGCACTACAGCCAACTATGGAGGTAAGTCCCCTGAAAGATGTCTCACAAACCTATAGCTAAGGAAGTTCAGGTTCCGAAAGCACGGGGAACAGGCCGATCAGGGCCCCGCCGCCGCACCGGCTGCTTGACATGTCGTGCACGTAAAGTCCGCTGCGACGAGGTCAAGCCAACCTGTGCCAATTGTACTCGACTACGACTGCAATGCATCTACAAGACTATTGTTCCAGGGATCGCATCCCGACGGAGCACCCAGAGGGTACCTCAAGTTCCTCAACAGGCTTTCACTATCGACCCGGCCCCCGCCCATGTTCCAGATCGTCTGGATGTAAACTACTTCGACACAGTTCTGCAGCCTCGTGAGCTGCGTCCTCGCCGGGCATCGCATATGTTGCCTCACCAGATGACAGACCATACGCTACCATCGACATCGGTTGCAGTTCCTGATTTTCCAAATTTTGATATGCTCAGCTTTATTGGCGAGATTACGTCGGATTTCGAACAAAAACATCTCGACCTGACGAACGGGGTGTCGGCGTTTACTCTTACCAGTGACGCACTATCGCCAACGACATTGGGGAATGTTGGAGGTAGTAACTATATACTGCAACAGCCGACTTGGACTGTTGATACATCCGTCGGGACACTCCCCAGCCCGAGTGACAGTCAATCAGATGGGGTACAGAATATACCCTCAGGTGATACAACTATATGGCCCGAGACGAGGGAAACTTACGAAGAACAGCTACTGTCTCATTTTGTGGAGATAGATCCGCCGCCTACGCCATTTGGGTCTATTTCCCTAGAATGGAATTATGTACGCAGCGTCATTGTCTCTCTTTCAGCAGATGCTAGTTACTTGTTAAATGCGTTGTATTGTTACTCTGATATACGTAAGTCGATGGAAGAAGGCAAACGGTGGAGAGCGGCCCCGGTGTATCATCGCCAGGCGAGCTCGGAGATCCAGTCTTGTATCACTGAGAGTATGGATGATTCGCTACTGAAGAGGGCATTGACGGCGGTTTTCCTGCTTATGTTGTCGGAGGTATGTAGGTGTTTTCTGGCATGCGTATCGAGCTAAAAATGCATAGGTAGTGTCATTTCCAGAGCTAGGGGACTCTAATACGTCCTTTCTTCATTCGGCGTATTTTTTGCTACAGCGTTTCCACCACCGAACCAAGTCATGGACCGGGTTTGGCCATTTGATAGTTTCCTGGATCTCTTTGTTGGATGTCAGAGCGCTAATTGCTGGCCGTGATGGGGATCCTCTTGTTGAGCTAGGGATGCTAGATCAAGTGGATACGGCTGAGACAGGCCAAAGATCGGAGGACGAGCTCCTCTCGAAACCGGGCTATCTCATCCACAATGCCATTGTTGGCCCCGCATATTCCTTCCTATTCAAGGCTCAACAAGTAATCCGCCGTATTGTCTGCCTCGATATGCACCACCGCAGACGCGGGACAGTCAGCGATGAGTTCGAAGTCCTCCAGATTGCGCACCAGATCGGTGCCGACCTAGAAGCCCTCTGGAACAAACGCCCACGGGTGCTAGATATTTATGACAAGCCAGAAGAACTATATGATACCCTTCAACCAGCTGTGGCAGACGAAGTCTGCCGCACGTTTCGCCAGTACATGGCCAATTTCTTGGCCATCTTCATCTATCTCCACCGAGTGGCTTTCGTGATCTATCCGCGGACAGACCGGGTGCATCGCGCAGTGGACCAAATCATCCAGCTGGCCACGGTGGAGTCCGGCAGTGTGAACCATCGCCTGCCGATCAGCTTTACCTGGCCGCTATTTGTGGCCGGGTTGGAAGGCTCACTGGAGCAGCGAGGATGGATTATCCAGGAAATGCAGCGCATGGCCGACTTGCCTAGTGACCATAGGCCCGTGGCACAGCGACATCCCAACGCGAAAAAGATACTGTTGTTACTTGAGGAGATGACCAAGCGCCAGGATGCGTCTCGAACGTGGGCAGACTCGCGCCTTGTGCGGCGAGAACTCTTCGTAGACCCCTTCGTACTAATCTAACCGACATCGTGTGAAGCTCAACAACGTGAATCATACAAGATCCATCAGTCATGACATTCGTACAGAGATATATACCAACAAATCTACAGCTAAAACTGCTTAACAACTCTCTGGAACCTAGGGGGGTTTCTCATGAACTTCTCAGGCTCATCCCTCGCCCCTTTTTTCCAATAATCATACTCCATCCACGCATTCTCTGGCATCTGTGCCTCCGTTGCCTCCAGAAAATCTCCCAGATCTGGATTCAACGGAATCACTCCCGTCTCAATGACATATTGATCCCATAACTTTAGCAACTGCTTCAACCGATCGGGATATTGGTCCGCCAGATCATGGATCTCCCCCGGATCGTCGGCGAGATTGTACAACTGCCACCGTTCGGGGCCCTTCGGCTTCGGGATATAGACAATCTTCCAGTCCCCGAAGCGCAGTGCCGCTCTCCCACAGGTTTCCCAACCCTGGATAAACTCCTGCTCATGAATCCGGGGCGCGTCACCACTCGCCCAGGGGTAAAAGCTGCGACCACGCATGGAGACAACCTCACGACCCTTATACGACGGCGCCGGGTGCGTCGCGCCCGCCATCTGCAAGATAGAAGGAGCAAGATCCATAACTGTTGCAAACTGATCCGTGATGCTTCCGTTACGCACATGATCCCCCACGGAAACAGACGACGGGAACCGAGCTAAGAAGGGCACTCGCACACCTCCCTCGGTGGTAAACGCCTTGTACAATCGGCTCGGCGCAGTAGCGGCCTGGGCCCAGCGGGGTCCATACCAGATGAACGAGTTACCGTTGCCAAGGTTCTCAAGTGAGTTATCATAGTATTTCTGGAGATGGGGCATGACACCGCTCTGGACCATGGGGTAGGCTTCGTAGGCAGCGCCCTCGGCACCGTTGTCGGACATGAAGCAGACAAAGGTGTTCTCCAGCTCGTCGATGGAAGAGAGGTAGTCGACTACCTTGCCCACGTTCGCATCGATGCACTCCACCATTCCGGCGAAGACTTCCATGGCGGTGCAGGAGAGCTTCTGTTCCTCTGGCGTGAACTCGGACCAGGGTTTGACTTCGTCTGCCACGACGGGGTGGGCTTCTACGTCTGAGCGGATCATGCCTAGCTCTTTGAGGCGCTGGAGACGTTTCTGACGAAGTGCCTCTGGACCGTCGTCGTAGACACCGCGGTAGTGGTCGATATACTCGCGAGGGGCTTGCAGGGGCCAGTGTGGAGCTGTGAAGGGCAGATAGGCGAAGAAGGGACGCTCATCGGAGCGGTCGTGCCATTCACGGAGGTACTGGAGCATCTTGTCGCCATAGCCATCGGTTGAGTACCAGCCTCGGGCAGCTTCTTGACATACTTGTCGTCTTCCATGTGCAGGGCTATATAGCTAGCTTCCAGGAAAGTAGGTGTCTCGTCGGTGCCCTGTAGCTGGGGCTCATAGGCGTAGTGGTTTGAGCAAGCGGGGAGATGGGCTAGAGAACGATCGAAACCGCGATGAAAGGGCGAACGCTCAGGTGTCAGACCCAGATGCCATTTTCCTGACATGAGGGTGTGGTAGCCTGCGTCGCGGAGGACCTCGGGGAGGGCCACCACGCGCTCGTTGAGATACCCCTCGTAACCTGGCATACCGCGCTGGGGCGCGGTGCTCATCGCGGAGCCTTTGGGACCGTTCTGACCGGAGATGTTGGTCCATTCAATGAGGTTGCCCAGGCCAGCGATGTGGTGGTCAGTGCCAGTCATGATCATGGCACGGGTGGGACTATTTTGGTCAGTTCTATTCTTCTGGAGGTAGTATTGGGTGTCATGAGAGGAACCTACGAGCACGCAGCCGCAGCGTGGAAGTCCGTAAACCGCACACCCTGCTTCGCAATGCGATCGAGATTCGGCGTGCGGATCTCGCCGCCAAAGCAGCCTATATCCGAGAAGCCCAGGTCATCGGCGACGACGACGAGGAAGTTGGGGCGTTTGGGAGCCATGGTTTCTGTTAATAGTGCATAGAATATAGTCTAAAGGCCCCATGTCGGCCGGAGAAGCGCAGAATGCGCTCTATTTATCACGATGAATACTATCTAGAACTATATCTTGACTATATCCGATCGTCTGTCGGCTGTCGGCTTTGCGAAACGCCTGATCCCCAGGGGTTGGCATGGAAGTACTGTGTACCTGGGGTAGCAGCATGCTGAATGGCGGGTTGAAGGCTGGCTCCAGTGAGATCTTCGAGGGAAGAATATCATTTCCTGGTTGATATGGCGCCATTAGGGCTTTTGGTTGCGTCTCCAAGTCGCTCGGCTGTCGGCTGTTTGTCGCTTTTGGGCGTCATCAGCTGACGTCAGCTGCCTCCCTTTTGGGTAGTCCGTGTACGTACTTCGATGTTCATCTCTCCTATACAAGGGGATGCATATCGTCTTTAAAGAGAGATCCAGAATGCGGAATGGAATAATATGAGGTCCTACGAACAGATCCCGCAATGGGATCATACCGATTCCACCGTGCACCCTGAGCCGCTCCTGTCACGACAAGGAGTATTCCGTATATACTGGCTCACGGCCATTGTCTGTTGCGGTGGCATACTTTTCGGATATGACTCGGGCGTCATCGGTTGGTTGAATTGTGGTATACATTCCAGATCTATCTAATACTCCGCAGGGGGTGTCCTCACCTTCGACTCCTTTCTCCGCGACTTTCATTGCACCCCTGATATCCAAACCCGCGTGAGTGCTCTCGCGGTAGGGATCCAACAGGCCGGCGCCCTGGTTGGCTGCCTGGCAATATGGCCTGTAACCAACCGCCACGGTCGTCGACGGGCCATGATGTACTGCTCCGCCATCTTCTGTCTGGGGGTCGTCTTCGAGGTCATCAACTCGCACTCCCTGCCACTCTTCTACCTTGGCCGCGTCATCTGCGGCCTCGGGATCGGGGGATCCGCCACGGTGATCCCCATCTACCTCTCTGAAATGAGCCCGACAGACATGCGCGCCCGCCTGGGTAGCTGCTACCAGTTCACGTTCACCGTCGGCATCCTCGTCTCCTACTGGGTCGATTACGGAATCCAATTCCGCGCCCCCACCGCCGCGCAGTGGCAAATCCCACTAGCCCTACAGCTCGTCCCCGGCGCTCTCATGGGCCTGGGCATGCTGAGTCTCGACGAAAGCGTTCGCTGGCTGCTCAGCCAAGGCGACTCCCATCGCGCCTGGACCAGTCTAACCTGGATCCGGGCATCGTCCGGGCCCTCTGTGGCGGCTGAATTCGCCCAAATCAAAGAGGGCATCGAAGCCGACCGCCACGCCACCGCCGACTTCCATGTCCGCGAACTGCTCGAAAGACCCAATGCCCGTCGATTCCTGCTAGGGATCAGTCTCTTCCTCGCGCAGCAATCCACCGGCGCCACGGCAATGGCCTACTTCGGGCCCCAGTTCTTCTCGCTGTTGGTGGGGGACAGCGGTGCAAACCAGTCCCTCACACTCCTGCTCACGGGGATCTTCGGCGCCCTGAAAGTCATCAGCTGTCTTGCGTTCATCATCTGGGTCGCCGAACGCTTCGGCCGAAGACCCCTGCTCATCCTCGGCGCCCTGGCCATGTCCCTCTGCATGGTATCCACTTCCTTTGTCGTCAGATCTGACCCGTCCTCAAGCCACACCACCAGTAATACTAGCATAAGATCCACAGGAATATTAACCATCTCCCTAATCTACCTGGACATCATAGCCTACAATTTCTCCTGGGGTCCCCTCCCGTGGCCCTGCACAGCCGAGCTCTTCAACACGCGCATCCGCGAACCGGGCGTCGCAGCCGGCGTCGCGGCCCAATGGCTCGGCAATTTCGTCTGGTCGGCCAGCACGCCGTATATCCTGGCGGGCATGGGCTGGGCTACGTTTTTGTTATTCGGGGTGCTAGATCTGGCCATTGCAGGGTTTGTGTGGGGCTGTTTGCCTGAGACGGGGGGGAGGAGCTTGGAGGAGATCGAGGGGCTTTTTGAGAGTGTACTGGATGAGGAGGGCTTGGGGAAGGGGAGTGATTCCTCCTCCTCCTCCTCCTCCTCCTCCTCC